CAACCCGAGCAGAGGCACGCAGGCCTCTATTTATACCTTCAGATCCCCGGGCAAATTCAACCAATCACAATACTATCTTTTCCCGCCTTGCGCATGTGCGCAAGGCCGGCGCCACTCAGTCTGGTCCCGGGCAGCTTCTGCAAATGCCCGGGACTCTTGCAACGTCCCGAGCCTGCCTTTGCAGGCTCAGGACACAACACATTTTTTTCCTTTTTTGAAGATGGGAACTACATCAGCTCTTTTCCAGTCCTCTGGTAGTTCCCCAGTGCTCCAGGATCTTTGAAAAATATAGTTCAGTGGTTCTGAGATCACATCTGCCAATTCCTTGAGAACCTTGGGGTGTAATCCATCTGGTCCTGGTGATTTGAACTTGTCTAGGCTGGACAGGTGCTCACTTACCATTTTCGTGCCTATCTTATCTTGTGTTTCTAATCTGTTTCTTATGGCACTATTTTTGATAGGTTGGTCTGTTTTTTCCCTTTGTGTAAAGACAGATGCAAAAAAACGAGTTAAATAGTTCTGCTTTCTCCCTGTTGCTTGTCACCTTCTTGCCACTTTCACCCACTAATGAACCAATCATTTCCTTCACTTAATTGCAAATAACCAAATTTTAGTGTCTAAACTGACCCCAATTTTATGTCATATAACAGTTCCCAAATTTAGGAGATTTTATAGATAGCTTGATTTAATATTCTCTCCACAGTTGTCCTGAAAGGATATATAGGAAAACCCCATATGAAACCCCATATTGTACTGACCTGTAATATGGGTACCATAGAAACCACAGCCCATGTTTTTCTGTTTTGCCAGTTCTGCAGGGACATTTATCATCAGCTGATTACTCTTCTTTTGTTCATATATCAAAGGTACTTGATAGCTTTTATCTGAGTTATCTGTTAATAATCAAGATAAATTCATTTCTCTAAAAGTAGCAGAATTTTGCTAAATTATGTGTATTCTTCACAGACAAATGGTTCCTGAGAGCTCTTATTGCTAGGAATAGTTTTGTGTTGCTCATTTTATTGATTGTATTTTTAATGGTCAATGAATGAAATAAAGTTCTCTCTATCAACATTTTAAGCAAGATGTAAATCTTTCAGATAGCTGTTTTAAAACTACTTAAACTATCTAATCATGAGGACACTTTTGAGATGAGTACTGGAATTATAAGATCCATATGCCACTGAATGTAAAATGGGCAAATTAGCAACACATGGGCTACAGATACTATCTCCATATCAGAACATAGATAAGACCTGCATTAATAGAGGGATAGCATGAAGATCACGTGAAGTGTTAATACCACTTTACAATGCCTTGGTAAGGCCACACTTGGAATACTGCATCCAGTTTTGGTCATCACAATGTAAAAAAGAAGTTGAGACTCTAGAAAGAGTACAGAGAAGAGCAACAAAGATGATCAGGGGACTGGAGGCTAAAACATATAAGGAATGGTTGCTGGAATTGGGTATGTCTAATTTAATGAAGAGAAGGATGAGGGGTGACATGACAGCAGTGTTCCAATATCTCAGGGGCTGCAACAAAGAAGAGGGAGTCAAACTATTCTCCAAAGCAAATGGAAACTAATCAAAGAGAGAAGCAACCTAGAACTTTCTGACAGTTAGAACAGTTAATCAGTGGAACAACCTGCCTCCAAAAGCTGTGAATGTTCCAACACTGGAAGTTTTTAAGAAGAGACTGGACAGCCATTTATCCAAAATGGTATAGGGTTTCCTGCCTGAGCAGGGGGTTGGACTAGATAACCTCCAAGTTCCCTTCAAGCTTTTTTATTATTATTATTATTATTATTATTATTATTATTATTATTATTATTATTATTATTATTATTATTATTATTATTATTATTATTATTATTATTATTATTATTGATCATGGCACAGGCAGACAGATGTTCAGATTGGATTTGGCATTTTTGTCTACCTATCGAATCCTTACCAAGGACCTGGGATAGGCAGATGTGGATGTTTGATGTTATTACAGATATCGTTGCAGGATGGAAGCAGTTCCTAGTAAGGCCACCTTTCGCAATTGACTAATGGCGAATTTGTCAATGCCAATGGTGTTCAAGTGGTGCTCCAGTTGTTTTGGGATTGCACCCAAGGCGCCTATTACTATTGGTACTACCCTTGCTTGCTTTTGCCACAGTCTTTCTTTTTTTTTTTTTTTTTTCAATATAAAATTTTATTGTTTTTATCATAAACGAAAAAATACATCACAAGTATTACACAATGATTTATCCCATCCCCCTACTCCCCAGACTTCCCAAACCAAACCTAGGCTAACATTCAACTA